TATGGATAGTAATTTCTATACCATATAAACTAACATAAGTTAACTTAAAATGATTTCATATTCTGTTGGTATTTTGCTCATATATCTAGGACAAACTCATTGACAAAATGTGAAATTCCAACCCAGAGAAATGGCTCTACCTGACCAATGGCTAATGTGTTCCCTAAATATTACAGAAGAAATTCTATCCCAATTCATGTTCTTGAAGTTTCCACAGACTCATGCAGACCCTGTTTTTAATGCCCAGCAATGACAATCCGTTCTTCACCACTGTTGAAAACTGCTGGAGTTTTATACTGTTGTTTGGCACAACAGTACAGAGAATTTACTCGAGTTCATTTAAGTCAGGAGGACTGTTGCTTATGCTCTGGAGGAATATTGGAAAACACTGTGAATTGGATATTTCAGAGCTTTCTTATCTTTAGAATTTGTCATTTATAAGATGTCATCATCTTTAGTATGTTATTCTGGAAACTTACTTAGAAGTAATGAGCAGGAAATTTGGCATTACTTTCAACATCATTCTCCATAATTATTTCTTAATCATAGTACAAAAATATTTTTCCACTCTATGATTTATGCAGCTTGTGCTCTTGTGCACTCTCTGATGACTCAAAATTTCAACAGGCCCTCATGACTTTATTTTCAACTTTCTATGTGCAGCTGGAGCCGGTGGGCCATACATTCCATGACTATCTGCAGCATCCTATTAAGAACTATTAAGTCAAGTCATGTGCAAAATCAGCATATACAAATTAAGTTTTTTTATGTCTATGCCAAGTCCTACACTTCAGCACTGAAGTAGATTTAGTTTGCAATAGCTGAAGATGAGCTGTCATTCCTCTTTTGTGTCTTGTTCCAGTGACAACTACTTCTTTGATTTTAATCACAAGTCACTTTTCTTTATTTTCAAAGTCTTTTACCCTCTCATTAAGTGTCAGTCTCTGTCTCTCATTGACCCATAATTTCAAGCAAATAACTTTGTCCTACTTCTCACATTGTTTATATAACACCTCGTACAACCCTATTCTGCTGTTTATTAAGAATTTCTGGGTATTCTGGTAGTTGCTTTGCTTCAGCTTTCCTGGGTGGCTAATTCTAAACATGCTCTCTGTAGCAGAATAGATGTTTTCAACTTCCAGAGCTCTTAACACTTCAGAAATGGGTTCCAAGTGGTGAACTATAGGTCTTGCTAGAGTACAGGGCCTGGTGAAGAGACAGACCACTGCAAGAGACTAGGAGATTGTCCAAAGAACACGTCAAGGGCAATGATTTGTAATTAACCACTTAAGAGCAGGATGGTATGTGAGCACAAAAACAGTGGGGGGAAAAAAAAACCCAAATATTTAACAGGGTAAGCCTTGCTCTGGTATGTCAATTGTTCGCATACAGGATAAAGTGCTTAGACTTAACTGGAGGTAAGGAGAGGAATCAAGACTAAAATGGAATGGTATGTCTTAGAAAATGTGCAAGGTAAACAATACGGAGAAAGTATGAACTAGACAACTGAAGGGGAATTTGGGGAACTTTTTTGGGGAAAAAAAATTTTCCCCAGAAAAATCAGTCCAGAGATGGATCATATTACACCCCAATAACAAGCAGTGTGACATGATAGAAAGACAGATGATAGAGCTGTAATTCAGCAGTAGTTGTGTGTAATGAATAAGACTTAAGAGTGATAAACTTGGATCTTGCTACAGGAATTACAGAATTACACAGTAATAATAGTGATGTCATTATTAGCTAGGTCATTTAACTGATTTATTAGGTTATTAATAGGGGGTTCATTTAACAATAAAAACTACAGCCACTCATCTCAAGCCTGCAGCTGAAAGAAGTTAAGACCTTCAGGTAACAGCTGACCTCTCATACCCGTGTCCTCTGAAGGTCATTTTGAGATTAGATGTATTAGTCTGCCAAGCCCTGAAGGGCTGCAAACCTTTGAGGTTTTACTGCTGATTTCACAAATTTTCCTTAAGGAAATATGGCGTTATTTCATTTTAGCTTAGTTGGTGCAAGCCACCAAATAGATCTAAATAGATCATCATTGTTTGAAGAGTAGTTTGCTTTAGGTGAATTAAAGCTTCAACTTACGTGACCTAAACAACCTACTTTCAACAGAAATAAGCTGAAGAGTTAAAACCCAAATCTTAACCAAATCAGTTTTTATTCACATGCTCAGGCAAGCCTATAAAATTTTCTCATGCATGCTAACACTTGTCTAAGTACTTACCTCTCATGCATTGCTGTATTTTCGAGTGGGTTTGCATTGCACACAGCACAATTCTGACCCTCCCTCCTTTAAAAGCCTTTTCTGCATTTGTCTTGCGCACCACCTGCTGGGACTTTGCTAGCAGCCTCTTTCTTCAGCCCTGAGATAGGATGATGTCCAAACAGCCTCCAAGTCACATTCTCAATACATTAACTTTATGGAGAGGGGTTTTTTTTATTATTTAAGTGAGGTTGTTTTGGTTTTTTTTAAAGACCATTCCTGGTGCTCTACAGGCTTTTTCCCCATGGCCACCCAACCTCAGCAGCTCTCCCTCAGTGGTGGCAAACCAGTGGGCAACTTCCCCTGGTACCACTTCTCTTTCACCAATCCTAGATATACCAAAAAAAAAAAGTTTCTGTGCTTGTTTGTGGTTATTTTTAATGTGAAAGGCCTTGTCGCTGCAGTTTTCCTGGGGACAGTCTGCTCGGAAACAGGAGGCCTCAGCCCCTGCCCTCCGGGGGGGCTCCGGGCCCAGCCGCCTTCC